TGCTGGATGACAAATATACAGGAGAATGAAAGGGCGTGAAGAAATTTAGCTAAAAACTACAGCACCCAGCCACTGGAGGAAATTAGTGGTTCGCTTTTTTATAATATAACAGTAGGAACAAATGGGCTTGGGGCTGAATGACAGCCGGTGGAGGGGAGTAGGAAAGTACTGATAAATGGACTAACTCATTGTTGATGGTAAGGAAATCACAAAGTAAGGCCAGTCACATCCTTTAATGACAGCTTGTTCAGTGTTTTTATTGTGTTAGTGTCAGTGGAAGAAGGGATGAAAAAGACTGACAAACATACCTTCTGATTTTCTTCTATCTCTTTACGGATCTCAGAGTTGACCACTGTTTTAGTCATGGATCTGTGAAAGGAGAAGGGCAGACTGAACTACATAACTGCAGACTAGTTAATATCTGTGCATCTCTAACATTTTCATTTTAGCTGTGGTTTATGTGCGCATCTCCTCTGTACCTGGCTTTGGTGGGGAAGTTCTGACTGAGGTCTTTCATAACGTTGAGGGCATCATCAGCGGGAGCAGCGAGTATACGAGCTGCTGTCTGGAAACTCAGATCTACACAGGAAAATGTGGGTGGATGGGAGGTAGGCAGGCAAAGAGGGCAAGAACAGGGAAGAGATGAATGGAGAAAAGCAGAGAGGACAAGAGGAAACACAAGAGGGTACAGAGAAATACAGAAAAATTAATGAGAGAGAATTAATTAAACAGACCAGAATATACACACATGCTGTATAGTGACTTCAGAAAGTCTTTAGATCCCTTTACACTTTCCTATGCTGTAGATTTATTTTTAAAATGTCTAAAATTGACATTTTGCACATCAGTTTATATTTAATAACCCATAATGACAAAGTCAAAATGTATTTGCAAATTTTTTAAAAACCACAAACTGTGTTGTCTCAGTATTCAGAGCCTTAATTCAGTACTTTGTAGAAGTCCTTTTGGCAGCAAATATTGCTTCGAGTTTTCTTAGGGAAGTCTCTAGATACTTTGCGCACCTAGATTTGAGAAGTTTACTCCACTCTTCCATTGTTAAGATTCAATAGGAACCTCTGCTGCCCAGTTGCTCTGTGAGGTGTAAGTCTGTGCTTTGGCTGGACAGACAAATTTATCCTAAAGCCACTTCAGTAGTGTCTGGGCTGTACTGCTTCACGTCACCGTCATGCTGGATCTCGTAGAGCAGGTTTGTTCCAAGGACCTCTCTGTATTTGACTGCATTTATACTTCCCTTAATTCAGTTTTTGATTTTCAATAAATGTACAAAAAATTCTAAAAATCTATTTTCACATTTCCATCAGATAAGTTATTCGGTGCAGACTGTTGAGCTGTTTTTGTCAATTTAAAATCTACCCCACAAAATGTGCAAAAGTGGTCAAAACACTGTAAAGCAAATGCACGCTCATGTGAAGATATCCTGTAGAAGTATAGAGACAACACTGCAGCTTAAAGAGCATTTCTTTCAGTGAAAGGGAGAGTTTAGCAAGGATTATTTCAGTGCAGTGAGAACCTCTGTAATGGTGTTGCAATCTGTGTGATTATTAGCCTCTGGAGGTCTCCCTCTCTTTGTAAACAGGCTGGGCTAACGAGGCCCAGTGGGGTAAAAGATAAAGACAGATGCCCACATGACAGTCTGACAGCCGACCCAACCCACTCTCATCCCCTTATATTCTTTATTCACCATGATCAATGCAGCCAAATGCTTACAACCTGACCACACTTTGTGATAGAAATAAGACTCTTTATGCATGATTTACAAAAACAAAACAAAAATTAGCTTGTGGTATGTATGAGGCAATAAAAATGGACCAAATTCAAAAGCACAAACATTTATAGTAAGTCTGAGATTCAATAGATGATGTAATCCTAATCAATAATGCTTTTACGCTGCAGCAGACAGTGCTCTCATATCTTCAGGATATTATAGCTCAAATATATCAAGGGGACACTAGTCGACCACAGTCATTGATTACAGGCCTGGGCAGATACTATAAATTTTCTGCTGCAAGTTGGTAACTGGTCCTGTTAAAGCAACAGAGGCTAATATTCATTTCCTTTTATGCATTTATTTATGACCAATGTATAAGAAAAATTAAACTGCAGGGAGGCAAATTCTCCCCACTGTCTAATGCAGAAGATGATTATAAGAAAAAGTGTTTTAATCTCTTCATAAAGGGAAAATGAAAAACTGAACAGGGACTGCAGTTTCCTGTTCCTATTCCTGCAGTAATTGTGCTCTCTTCCTGTTTACTTTGTGCTTGCTACCAGATTTTTTACAGATTAAGCTCACAGGTTTATCTGAACATCAGCTAATTTTTGAGTCACAACATACACCTGCACTACTTAAGCACATGTGTTACAGAATTTCTTGCTAATAACCAAATTTAACTTGCTACTTTAGGTCAGCTAGCCTAGAAGCTAGCTAAGCTACTAGCTTAGTTGAGAGCAATGGCTTCCCCCTCTCCTTTCTCTTGCTCAGAGTGTCGCATGTTCAGTTATTCCTCTGGCTTCTTTAGCAATAATGGTATTTGTAATAAATGTCAGATACTAGCAGCACTGGAGGCGAGGTTCACCAAATTGGAAGCGCGGCTTCGCGCCAAAACAACCCAGTTAGTCACACATACGTAGCCGTGGTGGAGCCTCCTAGACGTAGCTTGGGAAAAACCTGGTCTGATTAACAGTGACGGCATCCATCTCAATTTGGATGTTGCAGCTCTCATATCTAGAAATCTGGATGAGTTTATTTTACACCCTAAATTATGGTAAATGGACTGTATTTATATAGCGATGCACTGGCTAAAGCGCTTTAAGCGACAGCTCCTGCAAGATGAGGAAGGGAAGAAAGCCAGAGAAAAGAGAAGCAAACAAGGAGGTAAAGACAAAGTAAGGCAAAGATCACAGTGACTGTTATGTTTTACATTTGAGAGCATTACCATTTTTAATACCATTGTGTACGATGTGTATATTTCATACTAAAAGATAGTAGATGCTGTATTTATTTCTATAAACAGTAGAGCATCGGCATTTTAACTGATTAGTGTGATTGTGTACTTTGCTTACAGCCATACAACCTACCCACTCTGGTCCTGCAGAGATGTGTGCTTCAGCGCTGGATGTCAGGAAACAGAATGTAGATATCATGTTATCACACAACAGTAAACTAAATCTGATATGATGTAACAGTAGTGCTGCCACGGTGTGGACACAAATGGTACTGCAGGTAACTCTTACCTTTGGCTTCAGGTGAGTCAATGACTGCCTGAACGGTAGTGAACTTCTCTAAGAGCACACCACTCTGCTCCTCCTCAAAACCCATCTCCTGCAATAAAAGAATTAAAAAAGTCAAAAGGTTAAGTCACCTCATGTGTCTCTTTGCAAAAATATCCTTAAGATAAACACCAAACACCAAAACAGCACTCGGCTCTAACCATCTGGATGAATCCAGCACTATAAGTAATAAATAAGCTAATGTTCATGACTTTTTCACCACCATAAATTCCACTTTGATTTAATATGTTGATATAATGTTATTATTTCAATCTGATAATAATGCATTAAGATTATGTTTGTGATTCAATGACCAAAGACGGGAAACTAGGAAAAAGAAGTAAGCCTGCAGTGTTGAAATGAACCGATTTCAGTTCCTGGTTTTATACGGAGGCTTCACTTAAGTTGAATTTATAGACTTCAATAGCAGCCTTGGAGGAAGCTGAGGCTCCTCACCATGAGCTGCAGGACCCGGCAGGTAAAGAGTTTACTGGAAGCCTCTTTACAGTGCTGATCCAACCTCAACACCTGCTCCATGGCCGCCTCTGCCTCACTATACCGCTGAAGCACACACACAGCACAAAATCAAAACACAGGACATTACGCCACCTGGTGAAGGATTAAATTGTTGAGGGATAATAGTAGTGCTAAGCATCACTAATCTACTGCCAGTATATTCGTTTTAAGAATATGCAGTGGGTTACTGAGGAAGAGACGTTCATAT